CGCAGGCCGGCAAGCGGGTCGCTCGGCGCCGGACGGCCGCGCGACGGCCCGTCCGCAGGGTTGAGCTCCGACGCGATCCAGCGCGACCGTAGGAGGCTGCCGGTCCCCAACAGCAGGGCGCCCAGTCGGCGGGTCACCGAGAGCATGCCATCGGAGGAGGACCGCCCCTTCGTGGCGGCCAGGGAGGCGGAGATCGAGTCCCCTATCACGAGCAGCCTCGAGCCCAAGTTGGCGACGGACCTCAGGAGGTGGCGAACCCCGTACAAAAGCGCCTCCGCTTCCAGGGCCGGCATAGACGTCGAGGGCCGTTTCCACCTCTGCCTCCCGCACACCCTCCAGGGGGCCCTCAAGAGGTCCAGGGGGGCGTCCTCGAACGGCTTCCGGTGCCGGCGGTCGAACTCGCTTTCGGGTCGGTCGCGTCGAGACTGGGGCCGCACGAGCTCCATCAGGATCCGCCTGTCAGCCTCCCCTTCACCCCCGTGCAGCTGCGCAGCGGCCGCGGCGAAAGCGCGCTCACGGGGTGGCCGCCCCTCCCGGGCCGCCTCCCGAGCCCCAGCACGCTCCGAGTGACGGCAGGCCTCCTTGACCAGGGCCACCGGCGGTCGTCCCCGAACGGCCCCAAGGCCCCACGGCGACGCGTCCACCACGACGACGTCCGGACAGGTACCCGCTGAAGTGTTGACCCAGATGAGCGGGGCGATACGGTCCCAGATGTCGAGCTCCTTTCGTGCTGAGGCCCAGAGGGCCCGAGGCCCCCGGGCTGGGCATCTCCGCGCGGCCTCGCAGAACCTGTAACAATATTTGAAGACGCTGAGCGACTCTCGCCTACACAGGCCGATGAAGCACAGATGGCCCAGGAGGCGCTCCAAGTCCCCTCCAGAGACCGAGGCCCGCGCCAAAAGACCCCGAATGGCGAGACGAGCCTTCCAGACACGCTCGGGGGTCGGGCGGAGGGTGCGCCGAAGGCAATCGATTTCCCACCCCAGCGCGACGGCCCGATCGCATGAGACAGACTCTTTATGCAGAGGCAGCCCGCGAGACTCGAGGGCACGAGACACTCCTGCCAAGCGCTCGCGGACAACCGCTTCGCTCGTCGAAATCACAACATAGTTATCAACGCACTGCGCGTGAGGGGAGGAGGCGAGGGGAGGCGGAGGGGAGCCGTCCGCGAGCCGGGCAGCAGCAGGGGATCCTCCCTCCTCGGCCGCCCGCTCGTGGATCGCCTGGCACCACCAGAGGGCCCAGGACCAGCCCATGGGCAGGGCTCGCATCCGAGGGGTGACCCAGGTCCCCGGGGACACCCGGACTCCCTGGACGTGAGAGATGCCCGCCCACGAGGCCCGAATTTTACGCAGCCCGAAAAACTGGCGGAGCCCCTCCGGGAGCTCCATGTGATAGAAAGCGTCTTTTATATCGACCTGGCCGATAAACACGGGCTGACCGAAGGATTCGTCGTCATGCACCTGGGCGAGGGTATCGCCAGACACTAAGCTGACAGGGGCGGGCGGCTCGAAATGCTGATTAGACCGTCGACAGTCGACGACCAGGCGCTGCTTGCCGCCCCCCTTCTTTACAAAGAAGCAATCCACCACCTCGGTAGCTCGCTCGAGCGTCAACTCGGCTACGCCAGCCTCGACCAATCGCTGAATGAATTCGCCGTACAGAGAGGGGGAGTGGAGGCGAGGGTCACCGTAGGGCCGAAGGGGGCCCGAGTCCTTTAATTTCGTTCGAGCCACGTCGATGGGCAAAACTTGCGACTCAGCAAAGCGTGCAACAGTGCTTTCCCCGCCGGATCCCCAGAGCCGAGCGAGCGGAGTCGGGACAGACCCAGCTGCCGGGAGGGACACGCGGGAGGCTTCATAGCCCACGGGGCCCCCCCCTGCGTCGTAGGGGAGGCCGAGGCGCAGCGCCTGGAGGGCTGCCGCCTGCGAAAGATCATCCGGGGGAGGCCCCAGGAAAGAAACAGAGGACTCAACATGCTCGAGCATATGCTGCTGCCCGAGGCTCAGATCAGCAGGTACAGGTACCCCATCACGGCGGCCGTATATCGTGTTGAGACCCTCCAAGCACCGAAGAACGTCGGCGTGACGACGCTGCCGACGGCCGACTCTCTGCCGGCAACCTCGCGAGAGCCCAGGTGCAGGTGGCCCCGACGAGGTGAGCAGCTCCGTGGGGAAAGGCAGCAGATCCCTTCCCACGTTCCTGCCAAAATCTCCCAGCGGCGCGACGGCGTGCCGAGCATCCCCAGTCATGTAGGAATCCCCCCCACCAGACCTGAGGGACGTCTGGGGGGGGCGGTCGAGCATCACCCCTGGTCCTTCCCCTGGCCCTGCCTCCGCCGGCCCAGCGACTCCCGGGCCTCGCGCGCCTTCAGGAGGCTCTTGGCCAGCGAGGCGTCGCGCTCCAGCTCCTGCTTGGCGCTCTCGAGGAGCGCGGGCGACACCATGAGCCTCGACTCGGCCCGGGCGGTGGCGCCGAAGGCGGCCTGCTCGTCGGCGGTGAGCCTTCCCCCGGAAGAGCCCGCCGTCCTCTCGCGCAACTTGTCGCTGTAGCAATACTCGATCGTCTGGAGCCGGCGGAACATCATCTCCACCGACAGGATGTTGGACGCGTCCACCTGATCATGCTGGAGCAACGCCTTCAAGTAGCTGATCACGCTGGCGTACTCCTCCATGCCCCACTGGGTGTCCTGCAGGCCGCACAGCTTCTTGAAGTGCTCGAAGTGGGACTCGAGCGAGCGCCCCTCGCCCGCAAGGTGCTCGAGGCACCACATGGTCGTCCTCGGCGCGATGAAGTCGGGGAGGTGCTCCTGGCGGCAGCTCTCACGAGGTTCTCGAGCGTCCGGAAGGGCCTGCCAGCGCGATCGAGGCGGACCGGCAGCAGGCGGCAGTCGGGCGCCACCGCCCGGTCGGCGAAGTCCGACTCGTCACCGATGGCCACCCACTCGACGAAGAGAGACGACCCGTCTGCGAGCAGGACGACTCCGCGGGCGGGAGTGCCCGCCCCAGCGAAGCCCGCTGGAGGGGTGATCACATCGCCGTAGTGGTACCCCCTCCACTCCTGGGCGACGCGCCAGTTCCCCACAGGGGCGGGGGCGGCGTCGCCAGCGCCTCCCGCCAGCACCAGGGGTCGGGCCGCCCCGACTACGGCCGCTGCGAGCGCTGCTCCCGCGGGCGCCGGCGCACCGCCCGCCTCCCCGCCGCCCGCGGCCGGCGCAGCCGCCGCGGCCGCACCTCCTCGGCGCATCACCCCGCCCGGCAGGGGCGCGGGTGCCGGGGCGACGGGCGCCGCGGCGGGCGGCGGGCCCCCCGCTGGCACGACGACCCAACCTCCGCCCGGCGGCCCGGCGGCGGGGGCCACCGCGGCAGGGGCGGGCCCGCGGCGGCAGCCGGCGCCCCCGGCGCAGCCCAGGGCCACGCCTCGAAGACGGGCGCCGGCACGGCCACGCCCGGGTGGCGCCGAGCAAAGCAGCGCCGAGCCTCGGCCTGGGCGTCGGGGAGCCAGGCCGCCACCTCCGCCGCGGTCGGGGGGCTCGCGAAGCGGTAGGCCCGCACGACGCCCGGTGGCCTGGGGGCCAGGGCGGGCGCCCACCTCACCGCGCTGATGTCGGCCGACGTCCCGTCCACCACCTCGCACTGTACCTGGTGGTCCGGCGATACCAAGATCGCGTCACTCGGACAGGACACCACCCGACCCAAGTTCCAGCGCTGGTGCCACAGGGGCGCTCCCGGGACTGCATACAGGAGGTACGCCACCTGGTCCACTCCGTCCAGCGCGGGCACGGCGCCGGCGGCAGCAGCAGCCATCGCTCCACCTCCCAAGGTCGCCGAGCGCGATGCCGATCACGAGCGACGCCACGGTCGTCCCCCAGGCCGCTGCCACCGTCGGGGCCGCGGGCGCCGCGGGGGCGCGAACCCGCTCCTGCAGCGGGCACTGGGGAGCCGGCGCCCCTGGGCAGGCCGGGCAGGGCGGCACCGCGGGGCAGGCGCAATGGCAGTCCGGGCACTCCAGCGCCGGGCACGGCGGCGGCGGGGGTGCCCGACTCAACCAGGAGGCCACGCCGTGCGATAGCTGGGTGAGGGCTCCGACCGCCCACGGAGGCACCATGCCCCCGTGGGGAAAAGCTTGAGCGAAACGTCAACGGAAGATCGCAGACGGGCGGCCAGCAACGCTTCCCAAGGAGCAACCCTGTTCAGAGAACGATTTAGGAGGAAGAGGCAGAGGAGGGGAGGGGGAGGAGCAGGAGGTGGATGAGGGACCATCGGATAAGGAATCCAGCGTCTGGAAGCCAATTTCAATCGTGGATTGGCCATGGATATGAAAGCCGCCCTCATTGGCTAGATAGGGAATCCTTCAGGGTCTGAAGCCTCCTGGGCACATTCCTGAACGAACGCCCCCACCGTAGGGAATCCTTCAGGGTCTGAAGCCTCCTGGGCACATTTCTTAACGAACGCCCCCACCGTAGGGTGAGGACTGGCTCGGCAGGAAGCAGCGACCTGGGCTCGGCCACATATCGCCTAGGCCACCTATCTGCTCACATGCCGCCCCGCGATGCGCGACGCGCGGCCATCTTGGCGCCCTCGCGCCCCCGCGCCGCCTTGGAGAAGGGCAGCCGCTCCGGCCCAGAGCGCGACCCACGAAGCGAGATTGCCTTCGCGCCCCCGCGGGTGACGTAGATCGCCGAAAAGCATCCCATAGCGAATCCGCACGATCTTGGACATGCTGGACTTTTCAGGCCCCTGTCGGCGATCAGTGGGCGACTGGGGGTCGATGCGTTGTCCCCCTGAGCCTGTCCCCCCTAACGTTGCCCCCTGGTTTTCGGCCCATAAGTCGGCTCTCCGGCGGCCGTTCAGGACGACCTGGTCACCCCCGGAACTCCCTCTGCAAAGTGCACCTGCTGGAACACACCCCAAGGCTGGAAGACCGCCGAGAACCAACGAAAGCATCCGAAAACTCCGAATTTCGAACTCGTACCCCCCACTAACGTTGCCCCTGAGGTCCACGGGGCAGGACTCTATGTGCTCCTGCATCTCCTCCGCAGACGCCAGGTTGCTCGCTTGACCAGTCTCCTGCATCCACTCGTCGGGCGTCTGAGCACCCGCGGTGCCAGGCTCGTGCGGATAGGGGCACTCGCGCGGGTAGGCGTGGTGCATCCACTGGGCGAAGAGCCTGAGCATCGTCTAACCGATCCCCATCCCCACTGGCGTGGCCTTGGCCCTTGGCCCCGCTGGCCAACGAACCCACCTAGGCCCAGTCCTTCGGGTTTCGTGGTACCCATCTCCACCTTCGGGCATTGGGCTGGTGTGGGCAGGGGCTGGAATAGCACTGCCCTATGGCGATGGGGGTAGGTTAGACGATGCTGAGAGCCGGCTGTGGAGCGGGACAAGGCCACCGTTGCTCGCCGCGACATCCACAAGGCGGCTTCGCAACTCGTCGGGGAGTGTGCGCGGGGCGAGCACTGTGTCCGACGCCAGGCCAGCCACCAGCTGCATGACGCGGTCCGCCGGGGCGTTCGGCGACCCGATCTCCTGCTCGAGGCGGCCCATGAGGTCCTCGCACTCGTTTCGGCAGCACAGGGAGTAGATGCCAGAGGATTCGAGACAGTTCATGCGGCCCATGACGTAGTTAGGGACGATCACCATAGGCTTTGTCGCGTTGGTCTCGTCCAGGGCGCCGATCCTCCTGAGGTACTCGGCTTTCTCGGTGAACCTCCAATGGCTGTGCATGCTCCGGTTGTAGAAAGCGGAAAGCTGCACCCTCCCGGCCTTCCGGTCCTCCAGCTCGAGCATCGTCGACTTCAGACTCTTGCACTCCAGGTCGTTCAGTTCGTGGTACTTCTCGCCCATGGTGACGGCCATCCGCGACGTGGTCCTGATGTCGTACCTTCCGTCCGGCGACGCGCTGCTCTCCATGATGTTGGCCGCGAACCAGTCCTTCGCGGCATCCCAATCCTGAGGAGGAAGGTCCAGGGGGGGACTGGCGCCAGATCGGATTTGGCTCCCAATAGCGAATCTGCAACTTCCCGGGCGGGTTGGGCTATCAGGCCCCTATCGGCGCTCAATGGGCGATGGGGGTTCGACACATCCCAACGCTGCCCCTGGAATCCTTGTACTTGCTCGCGAAGATCTGCTGCTTCTTGTGCACCTCTTCAGGGGTCTCCGCGGAGAACTTGTTGGCAACGAGGAAGGACAGGAACGCGGTGAACATCACGTCCTCCGCCTGCTTGCGCTCGATGCCCCCCTCGGGGTCGAGCTGGAGCACCTTGCGGAGGAGAGACGGCGGCTCTCCCGCGCGGCCCAGCTCCGCTCAAAAGATCACTCCCCAGGCTCTCCCAAGGTCCATGGGCTACACGCGAGAGTGACCCTGGGTAAGAGTGACCCTCGGTGCGCGGCTTCTGGGGCGCCGCAGGTGGATCAAACCCGAGCGCGCAAGACGCTGATGTCGCATCGCGGTCGGCGATCGGGAGGACCCCAGTGGGCCCGCAACAGCGGTCACTCCGGCGAAGGGTCACTCTCACACGTCGTTCATTTCTAATCGTGCTGATCTCTAAGCGCGCTCGTTTCTCACTGTTCCTGGCCCCCCAGTGGCCAGGAAGAGGCCCAGGATAGAACAACTAGAAATGAAAGGATCTTGGCCCCCAAAAAACCAAAGGACTCTCGACGGATTAGACATGAACAGTGTGTAAGTGCAGCCGGGTCCAACCCGACCCGCTTCCCGAGGCGGACCCCGGCCGTGGCGACAAAGGAGCCTCCGGGAGAGGCCCGGGAACGACGGAGAGAGGGCCCCTCTCGCGTCCAGCCGAGCCCAACCCGACCCGCTTCCCGAGGCGGACCCCGGCCGTGGCGACCAAAGGGGCCTCCGAGGAGAGGCCCCGGGAGGCACGGAGAACGCCGGGCAGGGCCGCCGTGGCCTCGACCGGCCCTCTCCCCTCGGACTCTCCTCGGGCGAGGCGTCGGGCCTCGGGCGGGCGCTCGGGGCGGCTCGGGCGCCCGCGACGAAGTGCAGCGCACGGGAGGCATCCGGGGTCCCCCAGATCTCCGCAGCTTGTCTTGGGTCGGGCCTGTCCCCCTACAGAGGGGGATTTTGGGCGAAAAATCAAAAATAGCCCCCAAAAACACTTCAAAATAGCCAAAACAAGACTGAAACTGAAAAAAACATCCCTGGATTTTTTCAACTATTTTTGAAGATTCCCCCTGTAGAGGGACAGGCCCAACTTACAGCTTGTCCGCAAACGTCCGAAAACCTTCGAGGGGGGAGGCGGTTCTCCACATCTTCCAGTTCTGCAAGACATGCAGCGCACGACATGGCAGCACCGCAACCGAGGGTCAAGCAATCGCGCGACCCCGGGGCAAATTGCTCCCCAGACAATCTGCGACTGCTGGTCGTCGTGCGGACACCGTCGTGCCAATCCTCGACCCGAAGCGCCACAGCAGTGCAGCGTACAGGCGAAGAGGAGAGGGAGGCAAGGAGGACGAGTGCAGTGTTGGGCTGCGCTCCAGACCTTGTAGGCCAGGCGAAGCCGATCCACTGCCTCCTTCTGGACCAGGTCCTCCAGCGCGGCGGCCAGGGCCGCGAGCTCGTGGAGCACGGCCCCGCGCCCGCCGGACCGCGCCTCGAGGCGGGCCTGCAGGTAGGCTGGCAGCCAGTCCTCCGGGCGTTCGTCCACGGGGGGGCCAATGCCGTCGGGAACTTCTGCTCAATGCTCAACGGGTCGCGGCGGCGGCCCCGGCGACACGCTCTGCCCTGCAGGGGGATAGCGTGTCGCGCCGCTCCGCAGGGATGGAGGCTGGGAACAGCTCAGGACGTTGACGCTCTGCGGCCACGACGTGGATCGCGTGTCGCACCGAAGAGCGGTGGGCCAGAGACGACGGCGCGTCACGCTAAGCCAAAGTTCCCGACTGTAACCGGAGGGGGAGAAGAAACGTGCACTCGTCACGCACTTGTTTTTGCTCGCGGTGGCAGTTTAGGTTAGGGCCTGTTGAGGGCCCCTGTAAGGCCACCTCGCTGCAACTCGCTCCCCCCACGTTTATTGTCCCCTCGTTGCTGTCCGCCCGAGTCCTGCGAGACGTTGTCGGTGGTGCCGTTGGGGCTGGGCGCGGGGCCGTTGGGGTCGAGGCCCTTGATGTACCTAGGACGAGAAAATCGGAGGAGGGCCAGTCGAGACAACGACGGCCCTCGATGGCGATGTTCTTGCATGTTGGTCCTGCTGGATTCTTCTCGTCGCCGCTGCTGGATCCGCCTCGAAAAACGGGTCAGGATGGACCCCGGGAGGGATCCAGGGACCTATTTAGAGCGGATTTGCGTCAGGCAGGAGAGCTACGGTTGACTCAAACGGAACAGCGTCATGACTGGTAAGGCTTGGGGCTGCGCACAAACAGCCCCTCAAGCACGGTGAGGGCATTGTACAAGGAACCATTAAATAAGAGTTCATTGTCTGGAATTCCGTGGGGCTCCAATCGTGGACTGGCCATGGATATCACCGCCGCCCTCATGAGACGAGGAATCCCTTTGAAGAGGCTTCGGGGTGAATGAAGCCAGCCAGACCTTCTCCGGGAAGGAATGTGTGTGCAGTTTGCTCTTTCTCTCCCTGCCTTTCCCTCTTTTCGCCTCCCTCTCCCTTCCCTTTCCCCCCCCTCCCTGACCCAATCCCTAGCCGGAGGGATGGCACTTCTGTTGAGAGGGCTCAGGGTGTCATGAGCTGAGCAGGCTGTTTCATATATTGCTTCGTTGACACAGGTCCCACCAATCTTCTCTCGTGTGCGAGCGGTCTGACAGCATTCCACAGAGAAGGCTTCCGGGCGAACGAAGCCAGTTTCTCTCATGGCGGAGGCTTCCGGGAGAGCGAGGCCATTCTGCCATCAGCGTGTGCATCTTCACATGGATTTGCCTTTTCCCTGCCCTCTCCTCTCGCTTCTCTTCCCTGCTCTCTGCTTTCCCTCCTCTTCCTCCCATCCATGGGTAGAGCCGGTCAGACGGCGCTCGACAATGAGATTGGCCGACGTTCGCAGGCAGGCTGAATGCATATGTGCATTTGTCACACTTTGTGTCCCATCTCGCTTCTTTCGCTCTCGTTTCTTTCTTGTCTCATCTATCGTGCCCGTCGGCATTTCAGAGCTCAGTTGGTTTAGACCGCGGCGCTTAAGGCGTACCAGACACGTCGCACACATGTGGGCTGATTGAGCACAGCGCAGGAAAAGACGGAAAGGATCCCCCCGGGACTGAAGCCTCCTGGGCCACATTCCTTAAGCAACACCCCCACCGTATTCTGTCTGGCCCCCCGAGCAGTCCGGGCCGTCTCGACACCCTGGCGCCGACGGAGGCGGCGCCCCTGGGACACTCCGCGTCCTTAGGGTGTTGAGACCGCCCCAGACTCCTCGGACGGCCTGCTGGGGACAGCCGGGCAACCTGGGGGGCTCTCTACGGGCAGCCCGAAGCATTACTAGTCGTGGTACGACTGGCTCAGGATGCTTCCTGGGAATGCCCGAGTTTCTGGCGGCCCTCGGCCACTCGTGCGCGGTCATTCGGGACTCTGGCCGCTCGGGGCAGCAAGAAGCACTAGTAGAAGTCTTGAAACGCTTCATTGCCATGACTTCTTGCCCCTCTGAAGGAAGCACAACAACCTGCACACAGATAAACTTTTGGATGTCCGCGCGGATTTCTAGGATCGGTGCTGGACCCCCCACCCTGGCGCGCGAAGCGCGCCAGGGGCGGCGCCACAGGCGCCGCCAGGGGGTCCACCCCAGATACAAGAAATCAACGCGGATCCTCGAACATTTCTGTTTGATCTTCCTCGAGAATCACGTCATGCTGCGACTGGCTCAGGCTGCGATCGGGGAGTTCCAGAATTTCTAGCGGCCCTCGGCCACTCGTGCTCGGCAACTCGTGTTCCTGGCCACCCAGGACAGCAAAGAACCCCAGAAATCTCGAATCAGATCATTATCCTAAGTTCTTGAGAAGGAACAAGGGCTGCACTAACCATACATGTTCGAATACATGTTCGAAGGTCCGCGCGGATGTCTTGGATCGGTGCTGGACCCCCACCCTGGCTCGTGGAGCGCGCCAGGGGCGGCGCTGGAGGTACCGCCAGGAGGGGGTGCAGCGCAGATCCAAGAAATCCGCGCGGACCCTTGACAACTTATGCTTTTAATGGTTGCTCTTCCTAGAGCAATGTCAGAATGTGATTGGCTCAGGATGCGTTCTGGGAGTTCAAGAGTATCTAGCGGTCCTCGACCATTCGTGCTCGTCCACTCGTTCGCGTTCCTGGCCGCCCGGGGCAGCAAGAAACCCCAGACAACCTGATGCGCATGATTCTCATGACTTCTTAAGAAGAGCAAGTACGGCGTTACCGTACACCGTCGAAGGCCCGCGCGGATTTCATGGGTCAGCGCCAGACCCCCCCTGGAGCGGCGCCGGAAGTTCGAAAGTTAATGTCGATTCAGTGTTTTCTTCTCCGGGAAGCGCATCATTATCATGACTTCTTGCTCCTCTGACTTGAAGGGCAACGGGGGGATCGATCTGGGAGGAAACATCGACCAGGAATGGGCAATGCAGTGCAGATAAATTGGAGATGGGACCCCCAAAAGCAATCCGCAAGGTGGTGGGCGGGGTGGGCTATCATGACCCTACTGGCGATGAATGAGTGATTCGGGGTCGATGCTCAGCCATTCGTGTCTCTGGCCGCTCCGGGCAGCAAGAAACTCTAGTCCGATGCTCCCTGGACATCTCCTGGGATGCCTGCTGACCAGAATTTCGAAGACAATCCAGCCCTGGTGGCGAGGACTCTCCAGGACGAGCAGCGGATTCGGTACCGTTCATCCTCTGAAGCGTATCCTGTGACCGAGACTGAATGCGGAAACGTCGGTGTCGATCTGGGTCACCATCCATCTTGGTCACCGTCAATTCGTGGATCATCCTCGCGAATCGGCAACGGCTGGCAAGGACCACTACTAAGACTGGCGTCGACAAGATCCCGCGACATCCTGGCCATGGTCAGAGTGCTCCTTCCCTCGAGTTACCATGGCTTCTTGCTCCTCTGGGCACCAGCCGTGCCGCTGCACGAACAGGCGGTGGAGCACGTAGCGCACGGCCTGGTGCTCCAGATTTCCGTGCTCGTTCTTCGGCAGCGCGGCGTACATCGACCGCAGGGCTCCCTCGAAGGCCGCCACGCGGGCCGCGTGGTCGTCCTCGAGCTCGGAGCTCAGGGCAACGTCCGCATCCTTCAGAGGAGGGAGAGGCACCGATACCGCTACACTGGAATAGCGCCTCGCCTTTTTGGGGTGCCTCCTGGGAGACCCTCGTCGCCACGGCTGGATTCGCCTCGAAATTCCAGTCAGACCCCAACATGGGAGATGCCGCCTCGGAGGGGGGAACCGTCGACCAAGAATCGGCGATATATCGCCGACTCATCGTCGATAGGCCCCCGAGCAAATCCGCACGTTCCTGGGCGGGGTGAGCGATCGGGCCCCTGTTGGCGATGAATGGGCGACTTGGGGTCGATGCATCTCCCCCTGAGCCTATCCCCCGCTGACGTTGCGTCGGCAGTCTTTAGCGGAACAAGAAGCGGCAGAAGCGTAAACTTACGGAGCTCCGCGCGGATTTCTCGGGTCGGCGCTGGGCCCCCGTGACGGCGCCTCTGGCGCTGCCACTGGCGCTCCGCGCGCAAGGGAGGAAGGTCGGGCGCCGACCCGAGAGATCCGCGCGCACCTCCGAAAGTTTGTGCGCTGTGCTGTCCGTTGTTCTTCGAGAGGGGAAGGACGAACACCTCGCAGTGGCCTACATCCGCTCACTCAAAAATCCGTCCCCGGACTCCTCCCGGGGTCCTTCCTGACCCGTTCTGCGAGGCGGATCCAGCCCTGGCGACGAGAAGCCGCCAGGAGGCCCCGAGAAGGGCGGAAAGACGACAGGGAACGCCGCCGTGATCCCGACTGGCCCTCCTCCAAAGGATGAATCCGATTGTCGCGATTCGAATCCTGATGGGTGACCTGCCCAGCGCGCAAGAAGCTGGCGCCGTGGCTCGGCGGGACGGCGCACAGGAGGAGCGCCGCGGCGGCGCTGGCGGCGCGGGCGAGCTTCGTCGCTGCCAGCATGTTTCTTTGCGAGATCGGCGTGGACGGAGTGGGCAGACTGCCGTGGTGATGGTCCGGAGGAGGGCGAGCCGAGATGACCGGCGGTCCTCTCGGGCGTCCTTCTTCCTTCTTGGGCCTCCTGGGGGCTTCTCGTCGCCACGGCTGCATCCGCCTCGGACAGCGAATCAAGGTGGACCCTGGGAAAGGGGTCCGGGGTCCGATTCTGATCGGGCTTTGGCAGAACTGGGTTTAGCGGGACCTGGTCCAGTGATAGGCACTGGAGGACGCCCCCCCCCCCGCCCCGTGCCGCTACCCGGAACTGCCGTCACCCGAAAAAACACCAGCTACGGCAGACCTGGTTTAGTGACACTGGCCAACTTAGGGGCTCCGGGGCCCTACCACCAACCGGGTCCCCTTGCCTGGGGTCCTGGCTATACCCGATCTGAGCAGGTTCGGTCCGGGTGAAAGAGCCGCCGTCGTCATTGTCTCAACCGGCCCTCCTCCGAGATAGAGAAACACCGCTCGGCGGCGAGTCCGGTGGAGCTTGCGACACCATGGCCACGGAGGGAGGGGGGGAAGGGGGGGGAGGGAGAGGGAGGGGGGGCGGGGAGGGGGAGAAGGAGGGCGGGGGATAGAGGCGGGAGGCAGGGGGAGGGGGGGGAGAGGGGGGGAGAGTGGGACGGGAGGAGGGAGGGGGGGGGGAGGAGGGGGGGCACGGAGGACGCATGATGGAGCCTCGGGAGGTCTGCCTCGATGCGCCTGGGTAAGAGCTGCCGTGCCGCCCCCGGCATCACAATCTGATGCCGTGGGCGCGGGGGTCTCACGAATCGCGTCGTCAGTTGCGGACAAAGCCGACCTTTTGAGGCAAGCTCCACTCTGGCTTCCCAAAGGTGCTAGGCGAAGCGGGATCTTTACCGAACCGAGGACTCCTACGAGCTTGAGCGCGCTGACCCCTCAGAAAGGACCTGGCTTACGAATTCCCGATCATTTTCAAAATCGCTTGAGGTTCTCTCCAATCGAATCAGCAACGCTGCAGCTTGCTCTGCGCACTTGGCCAACATTTGCTGAAGCATTGTCTCCGCCACCGTGTGGTCCTCGCCAGCTCGGCCTCTTCAACATGAGAGCCGCCTACCTACCACTTTCTCCTCGTCCTTCTTCTCGCATTCGTTTTCCTTCTCTTTCTCTTGTGCAAGCTGGTCGTGGCCGCGCTGTGGCGCTCTGAGCAGCCAGGGCACAGCGTTCCACGCCGCATCGCCGACTTTTCCTCAAGATGGTGACGGTGCGATCTCTTTCCATATGCCTCCACGCGTACAGTAGGCAGGTAATGAAAAGCGTGGTGAGGACGGGTAGAATCCGCCGAGACTGTCGGCGTGTGGAAGATGCTCTTCCGTTGGTCGTCGTCGTCGTCGTCGTCGTCGTCGTCGTCTTTGTCGTCGTCGTCGTCGTCGTCGTCATCGTCGTCGTCGTCGTCGTCGCCGTCGCAGCTCCCTCCCTTTTCCTGAGCTCTCCTCCTCAAGCTCGTCAGCCAAAGCGAAATTAAGCAGCAACGTCGTAGTTGAGTTGAAGAGAAGCCCCTTCCTGGTGATCCCTTCCCCACCGGGGGGGAAGGTCCCGGTGGGGGTCCCTGCGGGGGTCTGGGGAGGACCCGGGGCAAGTCCCGGGTCAGAATGCTCCCCCCCCCGCGCCCCCCCAGGGCATCCCAACGCCCAAAGCCCCCCAAGACGAACCAAGACCCCAAGAGGCCCCCAAGATGGTCCAAGAAGGCCCGGAATCGCCGAACTCGGCCAAGAAGACGCCGAAGAAGCCTCCAGACGGCCCAAGAGGTTTCCAAGACGCCCCAAGAGAGCCTCCAAGAGCACTCCCAAGATGGTCCCAAGGGGCAAGGACCATTGATTTGCTTAAGCTTTTGATGGATTTGGGGGTTCTCGCCTTTTCGGCTTCCCGACACTCCAAGGCGGCCCAAGAGGCCCCCAAGATCGCCCAAGGTAGCCCAAGAGGCCTCCAAGAAGGACCCACAACGACCCAAGGCAAGAGGCCCCCAAGACGGCTCCAAGAGTGCCCAGACGGGGGAACCGAACGGACACTTCGAGCCCTGGGCCCGTGAGGCTCCCAGGAAGCACCAAGAAGCTTTCAAGACGCCCCCGAGAGACCTCCCAAGAGGCCCCCCGGGAAGCCCCAAGAGGCCCCCAGGCGCCTCCCAACAGGCCCCCAAGAAGCCCCCAAGAGGCCCCAAAACTACCCCCAGAGGCCCCCAAGAGCGCTCCGAAGAGACCCCAAGAAGCATCCCTGAGGACTCTGACCCACGTCAGCATCATCGTCGTCGTCGGTCAAGGTCGGCGGCACCAGCCGAAAGGTCTCTGCAATGAGGAGAAGGAGGAGCGGGAGGAGGCCGGAGACCCCCTAGGCTGATGGTCGGCTTTGAAGTCTGTGGCCTGATGGCAACACCGACAAGTTGCTTCATCATGCCGAATACTAGCAAACACCGTATCGTCGTACTGCTCACGACGACAGAACGTCAGCGGCAAGAAATCCAGCATCGCCGAGCTCCCTGCGAGATTTGTAATGTGGCGGTGCGTTCAGGATCGGCGCGTGCTGGTTGTGGCGAGGGTGCAGCCAGCCAAACATTCGAACACGTACAATAGATGGGTATTGCGCAGCTCCTGAGCCGCCTAATCACACCTTTGCCGCTCACGGCATAAATCCTCAGCGGGTGCGGCTACACATGAATGATACCCCGAACCAAATCTCATGTGGCGCCAGGGTAAGCACCTCGACCAGAGAGACCTCCTTCTTCCGATACTCGCGCCTGGTGGCTGGCAACTCGTGTGAGAACGATGGCCCAACACACACCACATATCTTCTCCCTTCCCCAGAATCCAAATCCCCGATTGAGGGGGGAACCGAACTCGTCAGTGTACCTCTTTTTTCCCCCCCGAAGAGAACTCGTCAGTGCACCTCTGGGGCCCGACGGCTCCTCCCAAAGTGGCTCGCGGCCCCCTGGAAGCAAAAATACCCGCGACGTGTCGGCTCGGATGTCCAAAGCGGCGCCGAGTTGGCCCCAGGAGGCCGCCAGAGGCTCCAAGATGATTCTGCGGGGGGCACCCAAGAGCCACAAGCCACTTGTCGCTCCAGTGGCAGGAGGGAGTGCCCAGCGGTCCATGGGACAGGGGGGATGGGCCGTGGGACAGGAACGAACGAACGAACCACCTCTGCGGACAATCGTCTGGGCCCACCTAAGACCACGTGGGGGAGGCCATGGCCTCCTGGAGCTGGTGCGCATGGAAAGCACAAGCATGTTCGGCGAGACACCTGCAGCCATGACAGAAGGTCGCCGGAGGAGTGGCTGCTAGGAGTGCCCACCAGGCCATGCACCCACCCCCAACCCCTCCGTTAGGGGAGCAGAAGAGCACCCCCACCCCCACCTGGCCCCGCTCCCCAGAGCTTGCAGAGGGGTGGGCCATGTGGGTGCTGGGTATAAGTCCCTTGTGTGGCGAAACATCCTCGTAATCGGGTTTCGAAACTATCTGGTCTGGCACCAAGGGGGGAGGGATGCCAGCAGGTGGGGGTGGAAGTGCGCTGTCTTTCCCCAACCACGTCACCTCCACCCCTCCCTTGGCTCCGGATCCGCCGTACTACAAATGATTATATGATTTGACACTGTGTCGGATATTCACCCCAAACGGTGCGAAGGAGTAGGGCGGACGTCTCCGCCTCAGAAAAGCAGGGCGGACATTTCCGCAACACAGCAGGGTGGAAATCGGCAGCAAAAGTAGGGCGGACACTTCCGCCCTACCTGCGAAATCCCACCATACGGCGGATCCGGACCGGAGTCGGGCCGTCCGCTGCCCTGCCCCTCGTCCGTGGCGCAATGGCGCGCGCACGCGCGGGCGCGCCGGGCCAGCCCCGGGCCAGGCGGTCACAGGGGCGGCGGCGGCGCGTTCATCTGGGCGGTCTGCATCTGCGCCATCTGCTCGTACAGCTGGCACTCCTTTCGGGTGTTCGCCAACGGGGGGACAGTACACCCCTGCTTCGAGTTAAACTTCTACGCTGAGAAAATAGGCCTCATCACTCCGAGCGCTTTCTTAAAGAGTAGTCCAGGCCCAGAAATACGAACATTTTGCGACAAAAAAAGACGCTCCGAGAAAACGCCCAGGGTCTAGTCCAGATTCCTGGCTTCCTTCAGCGAACTCGGCTGTCCATGACAAACGCTGCTCTTCCTCAAATCTCTGACGGGTCGTAGACGGGGAGTGGAGACACGTGCGCCTCTCGTGCACCTTTGGGGCCCGCGGTGGTTGTTTCGGGGCCGTCGACGGCCCCTTCAGAGCTACTCTCCCGCAATCCTCCATCCCTCTGTGTTTGCTGCCCCCCTGTTGCCGTCCGCCCGATCCTTCTCGTACATGAAGAAGACCGGCACCACCAGGACAATACTGGCCGTCGCGGCGGTCCACATTATGTGGCCGCCGAGCCACCACGCCTTCGAGCCGAGCTTCATCAGCCGGCTCTTCGCCTTCTTGACCCTTGGGGCGGATGCGTCCGCGAAGCCTGACAGCGCGTTACCCATCGGTCCGCCCGGGGCCTGGCGCCGCGCGAGCAGGCAGCCTGTAGGCCAGCGGCCTTCCCCCGCTGCGGGCTGAACGTTGGGGCGCACTCGCCCGAACGGCCTGCTGAACCCTGTGCCAAAACTGCAACGGAACCCCCAAAGGCCACACATCATGCATACCGTTCGGGCGCTCTGATTCCCACTCTTCAGTGCACACGGCCTCAAAGTGGGTTCTGGGGTTCCACGGAAAGATCCAAAAGGAAGGAGCCACTCTGCTGGGCCTCCCAAGAGCCCACGAGAAGGGGCGGCAGTTGCGCAGGTGTCAGTCCCCCAAGGCGCCGTGAGGTCTAACCTGGATGCGCGTAGGGCGCCACTCCGCTGGGCCTCCCAGGAGCACACCAAAAGGGGCGACAATTGCGCAGGTTGCAGCCTTGAGAGACCCCGCGACAGCTCGATTTTCCCTCAGTTTGTCCCCCCAGATGGCCCCAGAAGCTCCAACTGGCCTCTGAGACGACCCCGAGACGGCCACAAGAAGGCCCGAACCCAGTCCAAGATGGCCCTAAGACGGCCCCAGGCGAATTCAAGATGGCCACAAGAAGCATTCAAGACAGCCAGAAGATCCTCCTAAGACAAGTGCTCGGCCACACACTGCTCATTGTTGAGACTTTACCCTCCAATACCGCGATTACTCTGCATCCCGACTGGAGGATCGCAACGAACTCCACCTCGAGATGGAAGTGCCCGTCTGAGCGACCATCAATCCGCTGAGCCGTCCTCCTGGGGGTCACAAGCGCGTGAGATGTAAAACAGACCCCCTTCCGTTTCTACTCCGCCCCTTGGTGCCCCAGCCTCGGAATTCAAAGGACGAATCAAAGAAGTGATGCGACGGAAGGGTCATCCCCACGGGCTTTCGAATGTACGCACGCGTGGCTCTCTGAGATCCTCCAGACATCATTCAGGGCCTCAGCGACACCATAGCCCTTAGACTACGTACTCCGCATTGGCCCAATATGTTTCAGGATGGCCCACAATTCTGGTCGTATTCCGCCAAACCATCATCACTCACTTCCAAGGCTCACCACCTCCTGGCTCCCTTCTCTCTCTTTTCCGGCCCCTCCTCCTGCGCCGTCCCCTGCACTGGCCACCTGATGGCCATTCCCTGCGTGGTCGGCGAAGTGGCGTCACTCTAATGAATCCGCCCGCCTCCACTGGGCTGAGGTGCTTGTGAATCTTAACTCCGGACGCTCAAAGCTTTAACCGCCTGGTTCCCTCGCATGAGCCCGACCATTGCCCATACCGTCACCCGCTGCGCTCCGCGCCTGTTTTGGAGCCGAAGACCGCTCTTTAGGGCGACGTCCAAAGCGAGCTCGAACTTCAGATCGTTCACGACCCATTCCAAATTGCGCGTTCCATGTGTTGGACTACAGGTTGCGCCAGCCATGGGTTGCGCAATGGGATGCACCATCCATGGGCTGCGCCGTAGCTTGCGCGTTCGGCGGCCGAAACAAGAACTGCCTGTTATTCGTTGCACCATAGGATGCGCGCTGAGCGACCGAAGCTACATCAACCTGCTATTGGATGCACCGTAGGTTGCATGCTTGGCTGCCTAATAGCCCGCTATTCGGTGCGCCATAGGCTGCGCGCTGGGCGGCGAGAACTAGAACGGCCTGTCATTGGTTTCGCCACAGGTTGCGCGCTCGGCGGCCTAAACTAGAACGGCGCCTAAATTAGAACGGCTTCGCACTGGCTGCGCCATAGGTTGCGCGCTCGGCGGTAGAAACTGACGGCCTGTCATCGGTTTCGCCACAGGTTGCGCGCTGGGCGGCCTAAACTAGAACGGCGCATACACTAGAACTGCCCCGCATTGGCTGCGTCATAGGCTGCGCGCTGGCTGGCAGAAACTGGAACGGCATGTCATTGGTTTCGCCACAGGTTGCGCGCTCGGCGGCCTAAACTAGAACGGCGCATAAGCTAGAACGGCCCCGCATTGGCTGCGATATGGGTTGCGCGCTCGGCGGTAGAGGCTAGAACGACAGCTATTGGCTGCGCCATAGGTCGCGTGCTCGGCGGCCGAGACCGGAACGGCCTGTGGTTGCGTCATATGTTGCGCACTCGGCGGCCGAAACTAGAACGGCCTGTCCTTGGTTCGATGCGCACGGCGGCGGCAGAAACTGAAACGGCCTTCCATTGGTTGAGCCGTGGGTTGCACGCTCGGCCGCCGTCACTAAAACATTATTCCACTGGATGCGTTACAGATTACGCGCTCGGCCTCCGAGAATAAAATGCCCTCCTACGGGTTGCGCTGTAGACTGCGCGCTCGTCGTCCGAAAATAAAGCGGTCGCCTAATAAGCGCGCAACTTGTCGGGTTCTCTCTGTCAAGTCGGTTCAGTTTACCTCGCGAGAAACAAACTCCTGATACGCCCGAACAAGTGCTTTCAGGACGAAGTGTCGCTCAGTTTTGACCCCTTTCGGGCTCTTTCGTGGCCTCCAAGATTGGCTTTATGGGCAGTCATTCGTGAACGCCTCTTTGGCGCACATCTGCTGACAATTCGGAAACCTCAAAGGCATAGCAATACAATTAGGTCCTTGACGCTTTGATGACACCGAGCTCGTCTGCGCATTCTTCGGAATTGCAATTCCTACGCCGTTCTGGATGCTCCCTGGACTCCACGTCTGTACGAGTCTGGGCTCAGGGCAGGTTCGAAAAGTCGTCACGGCTCTGGCGTTAGTTTCTGACACCGCGTGGATCGTTCAACCTTCCACGATCGGCGGCTTCTCGTTCGCAAAATCGGTCCACCTTGGCCGATTCTGGGCCGCCACCGACGTTCAACCTGGAACTCCCGAGTTGGGGTCTCAGCCGCTTCGACATGACACGAACCTACTGTGGCGGAGTCCAAACTGGCTCTGGCCGAAGCCCGCTGCGGGATACGCCGTCTTGGGCCGAAGGCGACGACCGGAGATGGTCGCGCTCGGGCCTTCTGGGAGCTCTTCTGGGCCACCTTGAGCCCATCTTGGTTATTTGTGTGGCGGCGAGCGAGGAGGGGAAGTGAGAAAGAGAAGGCCTTCTCAGAAGGCGGCGGGACTTCTCGGAAGCCCCTGCGCCTTCTGAGAAGTCTTCTGTGTCTTCGGGGAAGGCTTCGAAAACTTCTCAGAAGGCCGGGGGATTACCGAGCCTTCTGAGGAGGCCTTCTCCTTCTCACTTCCCCCCCTCGCTCGCCGCCGATTTTTGCTGGCCCCTCTCGGGGCCCTCTTCGGCCCTTCTTCGTGCTTCTCGGGAGGTGGTGGGGCCGTCTGGGCGCAGCGTTGGGCCGCACTCTGACTGTTCCTGGCCGCCTGCCGCAGGCAGGGACAGTGGACCCAGAGGACCAGCGCTACTACGGTGATGACATTGGATAAGGAAACCTTCGAGAAGGAATCCAGGGTCTGGAGGCCAGTGGGGAACCCATCGTAGATTGGCCATGGATACCACTGCTGCCCTCATCAGATAAGGAACCCTCCACGCTCTGAAGCCTCCTGGGCACGTTCCTCAACGAACGCCTCAATCCTATCACTGATCCGTTGGTAGTGATGACGGGCCGATGACTGGACGATGATCTGTCCATCGACCAACCACGCGGAATACCCAAATGGAGGGGAAAGAGATACGAAAAACAACTGCGAGACTGCATTTGACTAATTTCGGCATGTTCTCGTCCATGTTTGGAGCCGTCTTCGGCTCTTCTGACGAGAACTAGAATGAGCAGGCAGTGAACATGAGGCGTCTTGAAATTACCGGAGACGTGCCCAATCCATTCTCCACGCGAGACCGAGTATGTGTGTGAGCGAAGAACACATCGCCAGATATGCTGCTTCATCTCCGCCGTGCCTCCCAGGAGCCGACGAAAGCGGCGACAATTGCGAACTTCGCAGCCTCCCAAAAAGCTGCGAGGTCTCGGCTGGATCCGCGTGGCCCCCGACTCCGCTAGACCTCCCAGGAGCATACGAAAGTGGCGACAGCTGCGTAGTTCGCAATCACCCAGGGAGCAGCTGGGGCTCAAATGGGTGCGCGTGGCCCCCGACTGCGCTGTACCTCCCAGGAGCCCACGCCAGTCGTGACAGCTGCGCAGTTCGCAACCTCCTGGGAAGGAGCGAGGTCTCGTCTGGGTGCGCGCGGCCCCCAACCCCGCTGGACCTGCCAGGAGCCTACAAAAGTAGTGACAATTGCGCAGTTCGCAACAACCCAGAGGAGCAGCGAAGTATCCAATGGGTCTGCGTGTAACTCCACTTCGCTGAACCTCCCAGGAGTCCGCAGCAATTGCGCAGTTCGCAGCCACCAAGGGAGCAGCGAAGTCCACAATGGGTCTGCGTGGCCCCCGACTCCGCTAGACCTCCCAGGAGCCCACGAAAGTGACGACACTTGGGCAGTCCGCAGCCATCCATAGAGCGTGGGCCCCAACTCCGCTGTACCTCCCAGGAGCCCACGAAAGTGGCGACAGCTGCGCAGCGAGGTCCCGTCTGGGTCCGCGTGTAAGCCCACTCCGCTGGACCTCCCAGGAGCCCATTCGACGAAAGTGGCGACAGCCGCAGAATTCGCAACCACCCAGGGAGCAGCGAGGTCCCAATTGGGTCTGCGCGTAACTCCACTCCGCTGGACCTCCCACGAGCCCACCAAAGCGGCGACAATTGCGCAATTCGCAGCCACCCAGGGAGCAGCGAGTTCCCGTCTGGGTGCGTGTGGCCCCCAACTCTGGGACCTCCCATGAACCAACGAACATGGCGACGATAGCGCAGTTCGCAGCCTCCCAATGAGCAGCGAGGTCTCGTCTGGGTCCGCGTGGCCCCCCGACTCTGCTGGACCTCCCGTGAGACCACGAACGTGACGACAGCTGAGCAGTTCGCAGCCACCCAGGGAGCAGCGAGGCCCCCGAATGTGTCTGCGAGGCCCCCGATTCCGCTGGACCTCCCAGGGGCCTACGCAAGTGGTGACAAAGGCGCTTTTCGCAGCCACCTGGGAGCAGCGAAGTCCCCAATTGGTCTGCGTGGTCCCCGATTCCGCTGGACCTCCCAGGAGCCCACGAACGTGGCGACAGCTGCGCAGTTCGCAGCCACCCAGGGAGCAGCGACGTCCAGTCTGGGTGCGCGTGGCCCCCGACTCCGCTGGACCTCCCAGGAGCCCACGAACGCGGCGACAGCTGTGCAATTCGCAGCCACCCAGGGAGCAGCGCAGGAGGAGGCATGAGGAGGTATGAGGAGGCGGGTGGCGGAAGAGGGGATGAGAGGAGAGGAGAGGAGAGGAGAGGAGAGGAGAGGAGAGGAGAGGAGAGGTGGAGACATCAGTGCTCTATTCAAAACGAGAACCCACCACAAGAGGGCTGTGAACAAGAAATTGCTCCGGAAAGCAAAGCCAGTGACGTGAAATGCGAAAACATAAGGTCAACGAAGGACGACGCAATCTGTTACATCATCGTGCGGCACGAACCACACATGATGTTCTTTTCCTCAGAGTCAACCGCTTGATTCCGAGATCGGGCCCTTCTCGTCTAAAGACGGACGACAAAATCGAACATGTGCGTGCATATCGCCACTCGGCTTTCGACGTAAATGCGCTGGGAAACGACGGCGACAGTTAGCAATTTCGCGAAGCAGCCCAGGAAGGGCTCGCATGTGCGAGCGAGAAAAAATCATTCCCTGCCTGTCACTGGCCTAACTCTGGTCACCTTGGGGCAAGTGGGTGTTCGGCTCCTCAAGCCGGCCGTTCCCCTCTACGCCCTCACCCCTGGGCGGCCTGCCCAGGTGTGCCACAGTTGTCGCGTCGCCCATCGACTTTCTGACCTAGACTCAAACCAGAGTTGTGCGGCCTGCACCACACGCCAGCCAGCAATATGAGCCAACAGTGTGACAGACGCCTCCAGACACAGAGGTGTCTGAGGACACTCGGGACCGCCGACACAGCACGGCGTTCTCTCTGCCCCCTGGGTAAAAATCCCCCCTCACCCTCCACTGGGAGAAGAACGTTAGCGGGGGCTGGCTCAGGGGGAAAACATCGATCTCGAATCGGCGATACATCGCCGATCGATCAGTTAAGAGGTCCCCGAGAGCGAATCCGCATGCTCCTGGGCGCGTCTGGGCCATCGGGCCTCGATTGGCGATGAATGGGTGGTTGGGAGTCAATGCGTCCTGAGCCTATCCCCTCCTAGCGTTGCCCCTCGTGGGTGCTGGCCACGAGCGAACGTAGACCCTGGCTGAAGCCCCAGGATTCCTCAGCGCGCCTTGTGCCATGCGAGGAGCTCCCCGAGCCCGGAACGGCAATGATCCGAAGGGCGAGATGCGATCCCCACACGCCCCCCAAAGTTGCCCATACGTTCTCTGACCTTGAGCGTTGCGCCTGACCTCAAGCTCCCCTCTCGGGTGTTCGCTCATAGGGGGCAGTACACGTGAGGGGGAAGAGACGTGCGCATGTCGTGCACCTTCCTGGCCCGCGGTGGCAGTTGAGGGGCCAGCTCGGGGCCCTTTGGGGTCATTTTCCTGCAATCCTCGATCCCCCTTCGTTTATTGCCCGCCGTTGCCGTCCGCCCGATCCCCCCAGGAAGCAACAACCCGCTTCGGTGCCTCCCATGCAAAAAGTTGGTGGCGTTTTTTCTCACCCACTTTCAACTTTTCGGTTTTCGGCCAACCAAAGCGAAAACATGCGGCCGTCCATCACAGACAACAAGCGGCAGTCAGAAAAACGGATCCGAACTGAAACGTCGCGCGAACGAGAATGCCAAAATGGAGAGCGTCCGCACCCCGACATCGTCCAAAGAAGCACCGCCCTCCGAGAGGACGGTCGCACCGGGGTGGGCAGGGAGAACGGGAGGACTGGGCGGGGGAAGGGCAGGGCACCTGGGTCTTCCCCGAGGGATAGGCAGGGAGCGGGGGGAGGTGGCACATCCTCTAACCCCGTGCCCCTTGCCCCTCACCCCGTCCCTTCCTCCCTGTTCCTCCCCTCCCTCCCTCCCTGCCTCCCTCCATCCCTCCCTCCTCTCTGCCGTCCTCCCGCCTCCTAGGCTCCCTCCCTCTCTGTATCCCTCCCGCCTCTTAGGCCACATAGCTTCGCACATCGTGCCCTGCGATGCGCAACGCGCGCTTACAGTGGATGCCAGTCCACAAGAAACCTTCCACACACAACTCAACCCTGGGACCCCAGGACGTCCATTGATTTCTGGTGTGGGAACGTCACGCTTCCCATAGCAAAGCCATCGACACCCAAGAAATCCAGGGCACCCTGGAGGCAAGCAGAGTGTTTCTTGGCATGGGCCCCAACTGTGCCTTCGCACCCGCGCGCCGCCCCCCTGGAGAAGAGCAGCTGTCTGCTCCAGGCCGCGAAGTGCGCAGCGCGATTACCTTCGCGCCCCTTGGGGGTGACCCAGCGTTCCTTCCTCTTGTGGCCCGCTTGTGCCTTCTCCTCCCCCCCCATCTGCCCCCCTTCCTTTTCCAAAGACCCAGCGGCTGGCTTGGCCATCCCGCCCGGGATGCGGCGTCGAATGCATGTCGTTAGCTTGACTGGCCTGTGGACCACTACGGCCCACACGAGTGGGCTGCCCATCGGGAAGTAGAGGAGGAGGAGGAGGAGGAGGAGGAGGAGGAGGAGGAGGAGGAGGAGGAGGAAGAGGTGGAGGAGAAGGAGGAGGAGGAAGAGGAGGAGGAGGAGGAGGAGGGGGAAGGGGAGGTGGACAAGAAGGAGGAGGCAGTGAAGGAGGAGGCGGAGAAGCAAAAGCAGGAGGAGGAGGATGAGGAGGAGGACGGGGAGGGGGAGGGGGAGGGAGCAGGACGAGAGGCGAGGAGGGATGGTGATGACGCTGCTGCTGCTGCTGCTGCTGATGATGATGATTATGATTATGATTATGATTATGATGATGATGATGATGATGATGATGATGATGATGATGATGATGATGATGATGATGATGATGATGATGATGATGATGATGACAATGACAATGACAATGACAATGACAATGATGATGATGATGATGATGATGAAGATGACGCTGATGATGATAGCAATGATGATGCTGCTGATGTTGATGGTGATGATGATGATGAGGCTGATGATGAGTATGATGATGAGGATGGTTATGATGATGATGATGCTGCTGCTGATGATGGTAATGGTGATGATGATAGCGACGGCGATCATGATGGTGATGATGATTACTATGGTGATGACAAGAAGCCTGCTGATGACGATGGTGGTGATGATGGTCTGGGCGCCTCCTGATGGTGGCCTTCTGACATGTCTCGCCTAAGGAGCGCGCGAGGCCGTTGTGCCCCAGCGCAGCCAGCGTCGCGTCGGCGCACCGAAAGCACGACCAGCGTGCTGGTGCGCTCCGCGAGCGCGCGCGCCGTCGGACTGCGTCGCCGCAGCGGGCCGCCTTGGCGCGGTCCCCAGCCGCCGTCGCCTCCGCGCGGGCAACCCAGCTGGCCGCGGGCAGGGAGCTGCGGAAAGGCGTCTGGACGTTGACGTCCAGCCACCACGGCTGAGCAGTAGATGGGAAGCCCACGACGAAGTCCATGACCGCCTCGCAGACCGACCCGTCAGCTCTGACCTGGCACACTTCCGTGTCCCAGCGCTCGATGTCGACGACCGCCCCCGCGGCGCGCAGCTCGTCCTCGAGGCCGCGCACGGCCCCAGCATGCGCTCGGGGGCTGGCCAGAACGTGGGCCGCGCGGCGGCCGACGGGCTCGCCACAGTCCCGCGTGGCTTCGCCGGCGTCGTCCACCGCGGAGGCTCGCTGCAGGCGGCGCGTGGCCCCGGGCGGGGCAAGCTCCGCGCCCATGCGGCGGCAGGGAGGCCACCTGCCAGACCGCCGTGCCGGCTTGCTCCAGCGTTGGTGCGGGATCGCAAGCCAGAGCGTGCCGTTGCCCCGCCCCTCGTGCGACAGCAGCTTCGCCCTGCGCTCGCCGTCGGCCTCGAGGCCCAGCATCAGTCGCCCTGCGCGCGGCGCATCCGTGCCTCGGAATAGGCGCCCCGGCAGCGGCTGCCGCGCGCACTCCATGTCCTGCTGCACCAGCGGCGGCACCGGCACCGCCCTCGCCGAGCCCGTGGCCGCAGCGCCCGAACCGCCAGTCCCAGAAGCGCACCCGTCGGGCAACGCCCCGGCTGCCACCTCCAACCTGCCCGCCGCCGCCTCGGGAAGCGCCCGCGCTTCGCTCGCCAGGGCGGCCGCTCGGGGCGGCGCCCCGCCCGTGCGGAAACTGGCAGAGTCCCGGCCCGCCTCGGCCATCCCGCGCGCGGGCATGGGAATCGCCTCTGGGGAGGCTGCTGGGGAGGCCGCTGATGCCGCTGGGGAGGTCGCTGGCGCCGCCCCGGGGGAGTCTGGCGAGGGGCGGTGCGCCGCTGGCGCGGCGGCCAGAGACGAGTCGTCGATGTCGCCGACGAAGCGGGAAACATTTTCTGGTCCATCTCGGCCGCGGCCGTGAAAGCCATGGCTCGCCCGGGAGCGAAGTCAACCCCGAAGCTGCGGAGCCGCGCTGCCGCCTCGCCAGCGGCGTTCGGGTGTGGGTCGTGGCCCAGAGGGCGGCCGAGGGCGCGCGCGAGGCCTCGCACGTCGTCGACGTGGGCGGCCCAGCATGCCAGGTAACTTGCGCGCGGTGGCGATGTCGACATCGTCCATGGGGAATCCCGTCAGGACCTCCAGCACACGGGTCACAGCGGCATGACCCTGGTCCCTCGCTCCACTTGCCACAGGCGCATAGTCGCATATCGTAGTCGAAATTGTGGGCTGGCAGATGGACCGAGATGGCCCAACGCCGTTTGCGAGTTAGTGGCACCGCGACCAGCCGAGGCCGCATAGCGCCACGCACACCTGCTCGGCCTGCTCTGCACGCGGCAACGCGGGACCATCCATGGCGACCGCCCCCCGGCAGCGTCGTCGCGCGGGTGCCTCCCAGTGCGGAGCCAAGGAGGAGGAGGAGGAGGAGGAGGAGGAGGAGGAGGAGAAGGAGGAGGAGGAGGAGGAAGAGGACAAGGAGGAGGCCCTGGTGTTCGCGCCAGATCAGCGCGACGAGTTCCTCGGCCGCGGTGGCCGGTGCCTCCGCACGCGCGTCCAGGCGCGGCAGCGCGACAGCACACTTGTACAACGAGCTCGGCCTCGACGCCCGCTACCCCCGCCAGCGACCCCAGCACGGGCAGCGCATGGCGTCGGCGATGTCCAAGTTGAAGTGGAGCTGCACGAGGCGACTCTCCGCCTTGCAACGTTGTTTCCCGGATCCAGGTGTTGCCGACCCGCTGCCATACAACAGAGAAGCCAGACGCCCACCGACCAGCGAAGAGAGGCAGCAGCATGGGCACGCGCCGCTGAGCAGTGGCCAGCAACGATGATGATGCTGATGCTGATGCTGATGATGATGATGATGATGATGATGATGATGATGATGATGATGATGATGATGACGGTGATGATGATGCTGATGATGATGACGCTGCTGATGATGCTGATGCTGATGCTGCTGATGATGATGATGATGATGATGATGATGATGATGATGATGCTGATGATGATGATGATGATGATGATGACGGTGATGATGACGCTGCTGATGCTGACGATGACGATGCTGATGATGCTAATGATGCTGATGACGACGATGACGACGATGCTGCTGATGATGATGAGATGATGATGATCATCGTGGTAATTATGGTGGTGATGCTAACGATGATTATGATGATGATGCTGTTGATGATGATGATCATGATGGTGATGATGTCGACACTGATGGTGACGATGATGATGACTATGATGACGATGATGATGCTGATGCTGATGCTGATGCTGACGATTCGGAGGATGACGAGGACGACGACAATGATGATGGTGAAACTGATGATAAAGATGATGATGCTGATGATGATGATTATTATTATGGTGGTCATGCTGGTGATGATGCTGTTCTTGATGATGCTGATGATGATGGTGGTGATGACGACGACAATGATGACATTGCTGATGATGATAATGATGATGATGATGATGATGATGATGATGGTGAGGATGACGATGGTGATGATGATTATGCTGATGATGATTATGCTGATGATGCTGATGCTGATGCTGCTGATGATGATGCTGATCATGTTGATCATGCTGCTGCTGCTGCTGTTGGTGATGATGATGATGATGATGATGATGATGATGATGACGATGACGATGATGATGATGATGATGATGATGATGATGATGATGATGATGATGATGATGATGTTGTTGGGGCTGAATGTTGCTGATGATGATGAGGAGGAGGAGAAAGAGGCGAGGACAGAGAAGGATAATACTGAGGAGGAAGCGGAAGAGGAGGAGGCGGAGGAGGAGGAGCATAAGGAGAAGGAGAAGGAGGAAGAAGAGAAGAAGAAGAGAAGAAGGAGGAGGAGGAATAGGAGGAGGAAGATGCCGCCACAACCTAAAAGCATTCGACCGAATTCCGATGCACCACCAGAGGCGAGGGAGCAGCTACGCTGGGAAGAGGTCAGGCTCCTTCTTGAGGTCCCCCCCCCCAGCGAAGAGAACGAGGAGGATGATCATAGTGGAGTGCTGATGCCCTTAAGGGTAGGCGTAACCCTGTGGAATCGGGTTGGGCACATGGGCTCGCCCATCCTTGAAGCGGTGCTCGTAAAGGTTGGGATGAACCTTCTGGTCCCAGAATTTGATCTGGGACTGTTGCTGGCGCCTGATATCGGTGCATGGTATGTGAAGGTCAGCGTTCCCTCAGCATGCCCCGAGATAGCCACCTCTTTTCGACATGTAAGGTTTGACGGTGGGGTGCTCTACGGTAGCCCCGATCGCCACTTACCTTACAGATGATCAGTCCTGCTGCCTGTCTCACCGCCTGCTCCACCGCAGGAAGGATCGCCATCCTGGTGGTGACTGGGGTGTGACCCACCCCGCAACAAGGCAGCATGGGGAACCTGCTTTCCAGCAGGCCAGGGCGCCACCCAAGGGGTGACAAGGGGGACCTGCTCCATCGCAAGGCGGATCACCACCGTAGGGGTGACATGGGCAGGCAGAACTCAGACAGGACGGGTCACCCCGCCAAGGGAAAACGGGGCAGACCCATGCCACTGCCGCCAGTGTCGCCGCTGAGGGGATGACAGGGGGGCCTGCTATACAGAAGAGCAGACCGCCTGCCTGGAGAGGACCTGAGGGGCCCGTTCCCATGCTGGACATCTCTCCATCCTAGGGATGCCAAGGGGGGGCCTGCTCCAACGGGAGGAGGAGGAGGAGGAGGAGGAGGAGGAGGAGGAGGAGGAGGAGGAGGCGGAAGAGGAGGAGGAGGAGGAGGAGGAGGAAGAGGAGGAGGAGGAGGAAGAGGAAGAGGAGGCGGATGAAAAGGTGGACGAGGAGGAGGAGGAGGAGGAGGAGGAGGAGGAGGAGGAGGAGCAGAAGGATGAGGCGGGAGGAGGAGAAGGACGAGGAAACAGGGTGAACACGAGGAGGAGGTGGGCGAGGAGGAAGAGAAGGTGGAGGAGGAGGAAGCGGAAGAGGAGGAGGACCAGTGAAACCCAAGAGTCATCAATGATGTTGGAATGCACCCTCCCTTCAAACCCCCTCTTCATAGGCCCTTACAAAGGTTTATTTCCATTGTGGGAACTGCCTCGTTGGAAGACAACCGTTTGAAGACCCTGAAGCATGCCTAAACTTTGCTCTCGGGATTTCAACGCCACGGATCAACCTGACTGCTGCGTCTTGACGATCCGCAATCGCGACAGACCACAATATTTGGGACTTCAGCACTCCGAATCAACAGTATCCCAGTGCGACCCTACCTAGGAGTTGGAGCCCCTAGGAAAGCAGCATTAGTAGTAACAGTAAAGCTAAGCTAAAGCTAAGCTACAGCTAAGCCAAAGCTAAGCTACAGCTAAGCTACAACTAAGCTAAAATTAAGCTAACGCTAAGCTGAAACTGAGCCAAAGCTAAGCTAAAGCTAAGCTAAAGGTAAGCTAGAGCTAAGGTAAAGCTAAGCTAAAGCTAAGCTGAAGCTAAGCTAAAGCTAAGCTAAGCTAAAGCTAAAGCTAAGCTAGAGCGAAGCTAAAGCTAAGCTAAAGCTAAGCTACAGCTAAGCTAAAGCTAAGCTAAAACTGAGGTAAAGCTAGGCTAAATCTAAGCTACAACTAAGCTAGAGCTAAGGTAAAGTTAAGATAAAGCTAAGCTAAAGCTACGCTAACGTTAAGCTACAGCTAAGCGAAAGCTAAGCTAAAGCTAAGCTAAACCTAAGCTGAAGCTAAGCTAAAGCTAAGCTAAATCTAAGCTAAAGCTAAGCTAAAGCTAAGCTAAAGCTAAGCTAAAGCTAAGCTAAAGCTAAGCTAAAGCTAAGCTAAAGCTAAGCTAAAGCTAAGCTAAAGCTAAGCTAAAGCTAAGCTAAAGCTAAGCTAAAGCCAAGACAAGCTAAGCTAAGCTAAGATGAGATCAGATGAGATACGCCAAGCCTAAGCTAAGCTAAGCTAAGCTAAGCTAAGCTAAGCTGGGTGAACCCAGGGGGCGCAACTGGGGGAACCGCGGGGCGGGGACTGGGGGAACCGCCCGGGGCATTTTACACTGCCCGGCCCCTTTAAGCAAACAAAATAAAAATAAAAACCTCTAGGCAGAGCCTAGGTAGGGAAAAAATATTGCACCCGCATAGTCCTGAATCATTCCAACACCTCACATCATTTCTGGTACGTTGATCATTGTCGTGGAACCCTTGCAAACTTTAGAAATGAATGTGCGCGGCGCTAAGAAAGGAGGAAGAAGAGGAGGGAGGAGGAGGAGGAGGAGGAGGAGGAGGAGGCGGATGAAAAGGTGGACGAGGAGGAGGAGGAGGAGGAGGAGAAGGAGGAGGAGGCGCACCGTCCCGCAGCCGCAAGCGAAAGGCAGCCGAGGCGTGCCCCTGCACTGGCGGCAGCTCTGCCGCGCTCACGCCAGCAGCGGCTGTTCGGCACTCCCTGCGCCGCCGGGCGCGCTGGCGCCCGTGCCTCGGCCCAGGCGCACGGGCAGCGGGCGAACGCCAACCAAAGGGGGTGAGGGAAGAGGGGGGTATTCTTCCCTCCCTCCCTCCCTCCCCCTCTCCCTCTCCAAGCCCCTCCCTCCCTCCTTTCCTCCTCCTCCTCCTCCTCTTCGTTCCTCCTCCTCCCTCCCTCATTCCCTCCTTCCCTCCTCCTTCTCCTCCTCCTCCTCCTCCTCGTCCTCCTCCTCCTCCTCGTCCTCCTCCTCCTCCTCCTGGGCGATCTGTGTAGTTGTCTGACTGTGAGGGCTTTGAAGAGGGGTGGTGCCATGAGACACCCACTGGAGTGTGCCTCCATCGGGGTCGTCTCCAGGCTTGAGCGTCACCCCGCCGACGGGGCCCCCTCTCAGTGGGAAGTCGCTTTCATTAGCCACTCAGATCCAAATGTTTGATTGTCTCGTAGCAAGGAAAGACTTTGGGTCCGAGAGTTCTTTGCTTTTGCTTGCTCCTCCTCCTCCCTCCTCAGTCGCTTTGCCTTGACGTGTTGGTAGTGCGGGCCGGGCGTTTCGCCTAAGACTTCCTCACCATATATGATCCGTAATCTGAGAAGTTGCAACAATTCCGCGGACAGTGGGCGGGCCGTGTTCTGTAATGTGGCTCTCGCCGTAGCGCCGCACGCGCTCGTCGCAAACGTTTGCAAGAGCTTCACGCGTGGAGGGCGGGTGACTCTGAACATGTGGGTCTCGACTTCGCGCCGCGCACATTTGATCTAAACTTTTGCAGGAGCTTCACGGATGGAGGGCGTGCCTTTTCAAAATGGGGCTCTCGCCTTAGCGCCGCGCACATTCGATTTAAGAGCTTACAACGGTTTCAGAGATTCTTCTGGCTGACGTCCCAGACAGACTTGGTACTCTGGCACGATGTAAGACTG